ACGCGAAGCCAACCAACTGTAAGGTCTACCCCATCTCCCCTCTCGAACAGAAGCAGCTCGACAGCTTCATCGAGGAGGGCATGGCTACTGGCAGGATTCGGCCGTCAAAATCGCCCATGGCATCTCCCGTCTTCTTCGTGAAGAAGAAAGACGGCAGCTTACGGTTTGTCCAAGATTACCGAGCACTAAACGCGATGACAGTGAAGAACCGCTACCCGCTCCCCCTGATCAATGATATCATCAACAAGCTCAAGGGAGCTCGGTTCTTCACCAAACTCGACGTTCGCTGGGGCTTCAACAACGTGTGCATTTGTCAAGGCGACGAGTGGAAGGCAGCGTTTCGGACAAACCGCGGGCTCTTTGAGCCGTTGGTGATGTATTTCGGCCTGACCAATTCCCCCGCAACGTTCCAGACGATGATGAATGACATACTTCAGGACCTCATCCTCTCTGGCGACGTTATGGTGTACCTCGACAACATTCTCATCGCACATTCCGATATCCACCATCACCGGGAAATCGTGAACGAAGTCCTCCGACGTCTCCGCGAGAACAAGCTCTACCTTCGCGCGGAGAAATGCGAGTTCGAGATGCCGTCGATCGAATACCTCGGGGTGATCATTTCCCACAACCATGTGGAGATGGACCCGGTCAAGGTCGCAGGTGTGGCGGAGTGGCCAGCTCCGGCTAACAAGAAGGAAGTGCAGCAGTTCCTCGGCTTCACTAACTTCTACCGGAGGTTCATCCGGGATTTTTCGCACATTGCCCGTCCTCTCTTTGACCTCACCAAGAAGGATGTGGCATGGACTTGGGGCGCCAACGAGGCGGCTGCGTTTCTTGCGCTGAAGAACGCCGTTACCTCTACCCCAGTCCTGCAGCTCCCGGATGCTTCCAGGTCTTACCGCCTCGAAGCGGACAGTTCGGACTTTGCGACCGGTGCTGTCATCTCGCAGCAGTCCCCCGTGGATGACAAGTGGCATCCGGTTGCCTTCTTCTCGAAGAGTCTTAACGAGGTCCAGCGGAACTACGAAATCCACGACAAGGAGATGCTTGCCATCGTCCGCGCCTTGGAGGAGTGGCGACACTTCCTCGAGGGCGCCGAGCACCCCGTTGAGATCTGGACCGACCACAAAAATCTGGAGTACTTCCGGAAAGCCCAGAATCTCAACCGTCGCCAAGCCCGCTGGTCCCTCTATCTGTCTCGCTTCGACTTCACCCTGCACCACCAACCTGGCCGCCTCATGGGCCGCCCGGATGCTCTCTCGCGCCGCCCCGACCACGGAGTCGCTTCGGACAACGCAGACGTCACACTGCTGCGCCCGGAGCTGTTCCACGTCCGGGCCTTGGAGGGTCTCACTGTCTCCGGACCCGAGGCCCCTCTCCTGCATGACATCCGGGAGGCCCTCGCCGGTACCCCCGACATGGAGGAGCCCATTGTGTTGGCAGCACGTGAGCTCCTCAAGGAACGCGGAGTTTGCTCTGCTCGGGCTGCGGAGTGGCGAAAAGAAGGCGGCCTGCTCTACTTCCGTGGCAAGCTGGTGGTTCCACGCAACAACGACCTCCGCCGACGCATCCTCGAGCAGCACCACGACACCCGCGTCGCAGGGCATGCCGGCCACTTCAAGACGTTGGAGCTGATCTCTCGGAACTACTGGTGGCCCCAGTTGTCTCGACACGTCGGCCGGTATGTGGCCACCTGCGACCTGTGCTGCCGAACCAAGGCGCTCCGCCAACTCCCAATCGGGGAACTCCATCCCACGGAGGTCCCTTCGGAGCGCTGGGAAGCGGTGTCAGTTGACTTCATTGTGCATCTGCCAGACGCTCACGGGTATGATGCTATCATGGTCGTTGTTGACATGCTTGGGAAGCGCAGCCACTTTATAGAGTGCCACACCCGGCTCTCCGGTGAAGGTGCCGCCAGGCTTTTCTACAAGAACGTCTGGCGCCACCATGGGCTGCCGTCTAAGTATGTCTCTGACCGTGGCTCCCAGTTCATAGCAGAGTTCACGCAGGAGCTGTGGAAACTGGTCGGGGTCTCATCGGCAATGTCTACGGCTTGGCATCCACAGACGGACGGCCAGACCGAGCGTGTGAACCAGGAGCTCGAGCAGTTCCTCCGGATCTTCACCAGCTACAACCAAGACGACTGGGACGAGCTGCTTCCCGCTGCCGAGTTTGCCTACAACAACCATATTCACTCATCCACGCAGCAGGTCCCGTTCATGACCGACACCGGTCGACTCCCTCGCATGGGCTTCGAGCCGAATGGACCACGCTCAACTGTGAACGAGTCGGCAAACGACTTCCGCGACCGCATCACGTCTGGAGTCGCGGAGGCCAAGTTGGCACTGGTGAAGGCAAAGGATGAGTACAAGCAGTACTACGACCGCCGGAGGGTCTCGGCTCCAGACATCAAGGTCGGAGATCGAGTCTGGCTTGACGCTTCTGACATAGCAACAACGCGCCCGTCCCTCAAACTCTCTCACCGACGGCTGGGTCCCTTCAAAGTCACCCAGGTTGTTGGGCGCGGCGCTTACAAGCTTGACCTCCCTCGCCGCCTCTCTGGTCTTCACCCGGTCTTCCCTGTCGTCAAGCTGCAGCTCGTTGAGGACGACCCGTTCCCAACACGCCCGGCTCGCGAGGAGCCGCCACCTGTCATGGGCCAAGGAGCTGGCGAGGAGTGGGAAGTCGAAGAGGTTCTGGATGCCAAGATGCGCTATCGGAGCATTTGGTACTTTGTGCGGTGGAAGGGCTACGATTCGTCGCATGACCAATGGGTTAAGCACTCTGATATCTTCGCAGAGGACGCTATAGCGGCATTCTACCGCAAGCACCCCAACAAGCCACGCATCATTGCCGCCGCCATCTTCGACTCCCTTCCGTTCCAGCACCCCTCTGCCACCATCCGCACGTTGCGTCGAGGCGCCGCAATCCAAGGGGGGGGTGATGTCAGGGGAACCCCCGTTTCGGACCGCTCTGCCTTCGATCAGGCATGTGATTGCGCTCGCGTGACCTGTCAGCTGTCACGTACCGCGGCCCGGACTGCCGCGCCGAGCGCTTCTCCTTGATGGGCACATGGCCAAGTGCCCCATTGTTCCTATTGTCCCCGCTCCCATTGTTCTGTCATGGCCGTTGTACTTATTATCCCCATTGTTCTTTGTTTGTCGCTGCGTGCTCCATTGTTCTTGTATCATATAAATAGTGGCGCCTGGCAAGGAGAATCCCCAACACGGTTTCTCTTTGGATTCTCCCTTGCCAGGTATGCCGGTCTTGTACCTAGCTACCACTATTAATCACCTTTGGATTCTCCCTTGCCAGAACTCTGAGATCGGGTCTCGAGGTTGCCCTTACACAGATACAATCTCACCAATCCAAGGGGCTTCAAGATACAGCGCACTTTTGGCTGAACCAGCAAGGACAGCTCAAGAACAAGAGCTTATGGATGCCCTGAAAGATGCTGAGTCACGCAATGAGAGGCGGAACAAGAGGATGATTCCGATGCAGGCAAGCATTGTTCTTACCAACATGCATACTGAACGGGCCCAACAACAATTACACTCAGCTGAGGAACGGAAGGAAGCTCGGAGTCAGAAGAAGAGAAAGCTGGAGGACAGAAAGGCTCACTATTTCACAGGAGACAAGTTCATAGAATTGAGTCAGCAGATAGAGGAAGAGAGGAGAGACGAGGAGAGAGAGCAGGGAGAGAAGTGTTGTGCACGGGAGACACATGCCACTGAGGTGGCAGAATGGCAATCAGCCAATAACAGAATCTGTGAGCGCAATGCAAAACACAGAGCTGAGTTTGAGGCCGCAATGTTGGGATGGGAGGCCAAAAAGGTGGCTGCAGTAGTGGTCAAAAGGAAGGTGGGGTGGGCAAAACCACGACTCAAAGATTTTGGCATCAAAAAACTGCTGCGGAAACCTGCTGCTAAGGTTACTAAAGCCTCCGATGTTGTCAACAACAACAATGAAAGCAGCGATGGATCAGACGAGGGCTCTCGGGAGTCGGACCGTGGTTTGGAGACATGGTCTGATGATGCAGGGGATGTCTCCGACACCTCAGAGTTATTGATGTAATTGAATGCGGCTGAATGTGACACCGTGCCATTAGGTGCCAAATGACTGATAAGGGTATTAGAAGAGATTGTATTTGATATGGTGATCCCTGCTGCCTGATGTAGTAGAAAAAGGTTTGAAAGTGAATATTGACACCCAGTCTGATATTGTATCAACTCAATATACTGAATTTTACACCAGTTTCATGGCTCCAAGCTACCTAAAACTATGCCGTGCCATTAGGTGGTATTAGAATGTAAGACCAATTCCACAGTAGTGGTCTGACTGCTTTGCTATTGTTGACACTATCCACAGTTGTTGACTGGGCAGCAAACCCTTAAGTCCTACTGAGCATGACACTGGCACCTGCAACATGACACACCAAGTGATTCAAGAGTAAACTCTGTAAAAGCGCAAAAATATGCCCTTATAGAGCTGGTGCAGAGCACACCTGGTAGCCAGCCCATCACCGGTTGCACAATGCAATATACAGATGCTAAGCCATCAATCTGATTATAATCCTGCACCTGTGTCTTGCACCTGCACCTGTGCCTGGCAGCCAAACAGACCCTAAATGCCACATTGTGCACAGCTGTGTAAGCCAAAATTTCGATTTTTTGGGCAAGTTTCAGCAATTTTGTGACACTTCGACAGTTTTTGAACTTGACCCCGGTGACCTGTGACATGTACAAAAAATTTTGTATTTTTGACAGCTGGTTGCAAATCGCAAGGCCACCGTCCCTCATTCTCGACATGATGGGAGGTGGAGCTGTCGTGACATGCCGCCGTTGCCGGGTAGCTGTGACTCCATTCTTTCCCAGCTATTCTTGTGAGGTAGGCGCCAGATTCTCATCGGGCATACCCAAGAGGTACTATACATGATGGTAAGACAACCTGGGCAGTTCAAAATTGTTGAAAGAATAGTATTCATTGTAGTAGACGAGAGAAAATGAACTTGCACTGCATGGAACATCAAGCAATTGCACAGCGGGCCCCACTTGTCCACCGGCCCCACCTCCCGGCAACAGCGACATGTCACCACAGCCCCACTTGCCATCATGTCGAGAATGCAGGACGGTGGCCTCGCAATTTGCAACTAGCTGGAAGCCATGTGGCGCATGACATATACATTGAATGAAATGATAGTTTGTGACGCTTGCGTAATCTGATACACAACAATGACAATTTTCGGGGCGAGAGGACACGGTCACGTGGGTCCTGGATTACCGTGCCTGAAGCTGACCTGGGACTGTTCTTGACAAGAATGGTTCTTGGCACCCACAGTGCGAGCAAGGTTGGCCAACATATCAGCGGCGGGTACGCGCTCGAGCAACTCTTCTAGACTGTTATGGCATGTTTATAGGCTCATGCCGGCGTTCTGACTCGATTTGTCGATTATCGCAACCCTTCCTTGTTCTTGAAAATATGTCTGCCTTGCCCGTATATGTCGCCGTGGTTGGCGTGGGACTGGTCGGCTCGGAATTTATCAATCAGCTCCTCTCCCTGCCCATCTCTCCGTTCGAGCTCGTCTCACTGACATCTTCGACGCGCTCACTGTTCACCCACGACCCCATAACGATCTCGACGTGGAAATCGCAGCTTGAGGGCGCAAAGGATCGTCCCGATCTGGAAAAACTCACGGAGCGACTCTCAGTGCTCCTCGCATCCTCGCATCGGATTATCTTGGTGGACAACACCTCATCGGACGACGTCGCCGCGTTCTATCCCAAATGGCTCAAGGCTGGTATCAGCGTCATCACTCCGAATAAAAAGGCGTTCTCGGGCGATGTCGAGCTTTATGAGCAGATTCTTGAATCCAGCCAGTCGGGTGGTAGATTCCTCAACGAATCCACCGTTGGTGCTGGACTGCCTGTTCTTTCAACCCTAAAAGACCTCGTGGCTACTGGAGATAAGGTGCGCATGCTTGTGTAGTCGAGTCTGAAATCTCATGTCCCCGGGTAGGTCACGAAAATCGAGGGCGTATTCTCAGGGACAATGAGCTACATCTTCAATGAATTCTCCACCGGCAAGCCGGATGGTCCCACCTTTTCCTCTGTGGTCAAAGTTGCACGAGAAAAGGGCTACACGGTGAGCCCATATTCCTTATCTCAAATCGCCTTCTTGAACACCATCTGCTAGGAACCTCGTCCGGCAGATGACCTCAATGGCTTCGACGTCGCCCGCAAGCTGACGATCCTGTCTCGGATCATCGCGCACTCCCCTTCTCCAGGAGGACTGCCACGATTGCAGTCCTTCAAGTCCGTGCAAACCACCTCCCTGATTCCTGCCGAACTGGAGGGCATCCCCACGGGCGACGAGTTCATTGCTAGGCTGCCTGAATTCGACGAGAGATTCGCGAAAATGCGGGCGGATGCCAGCGCGGACGGGCAGGTGCTGCGTTTTGTGGGTGTGGTGGATGTCGTGACCGGCCAAGTCCGTGCTGGACTGGAGCGATACCCCACTTCACATCCATTCGCGACTTCGTTGGGAGGATCGGACAACATCATTATGTTCCACACAGAGCGATACGGTGCTCGGCCGTTAATCATCCAAGGCGCTGGGGCTGGGGCTGCTGTCACGGCGATGGGTGTTATGAGCGATCTACTCCGGGTGATCTAACCAGTGAAATGGTGCTTCCGACAATAGATGGAATTTGTACGGTACTTAAGTAAGGAAAAGAATTCGGCTAAGCCAAGAGCATTTTGCGGGGATCCTCTACGTATTCCTTGACTTTGACTGCGCATACATCGCGTCAGCAAGTGAGGAACTGGGGAAAGTGAACTCATACCGAGGAAAGTGACCGCCTCCCGGCCATCGAGCAGTCTGTGGTCATAGGTCAAAGCCACGACCATGATGGGACGAATGACGATCTGGCCGTCCACGACAACCGGTCGGTCTTTGATGGAATGCATCCCGAGCACAGCAGCTTGGGGCAGGTTGATGATCGGAGTGCCATATAACGAGCCAAACACGCCGCCGTTGGAACTGGAACTAAGATGAGAACCAGGACAACCATCTCACAGGGTCACATACATGGTGAAGGTGCCCCCTGACATGTCCTCGAGGGTCAGCTTTCCGTCACGAGCCTACACGCGGGTTAGATAGTGCCGAGCTATCAAACTGTGCATTCTGCACACACCTTCTTGCCCAAACCAGCAATCTCCTTCTCAATGCCCACAAAGTTGAAGCTCTCGGCGTTGCGCAGAACGGGGGTAACGAGACCCTTGGGTGTCGCGACAGCGACACTGAGATCAACATAGTCCCGGTAGACGATCTCCTCTCCCTCGATCGACGCGTTGGCCGACGGGATCTCCTTCAATGCGAGGGTGCAGGCCTTGGCAAACGCGCTCATGAACCCGAGTTTCACATCGTGCTCTTTGAGGACCGCGTCCTTGTAACGCTTGCGCATATCCATCAGCGAAGACATGTCGATCTCGTTGAAGGTCGTGAGGAAAGCCGCCGCGTTTTGGGACTCCTTGAGACGCTCTGCAATCCGGAGACGCATGCGGTTCATCTTGACCTGTAAGATAGTCAGTGTTAGCGTATCTCGCATGACAGGTTACGGACGCGGGTTTCATTCCTGCTTCCCGGTGTGGGAGGGGCAGCTGCTGGTTTGCTCTCTTTTGCCTCTGGCTTGGGCGCTGGAGCTGGTTTCTTCTCAGCGGGCTTTTCAGCAGGTTTATCGGCAGATTTCTCAGCAGGTTTCTCGGTAGGTTTGTCCGCAGGTTTCTCGGAAGAGGTCTCGGGAGATGGTGGTGGAGCACTCTCCTTTGCAGTAGGTGGTTTGCCTACGACAGATGAGGAATGTTGTAGATGGGGCGAAGGGTACGACGTACTGGCTTCGACCTCACCGGGCTCGATTTTGAACAAGTCCTGACCGACAGTCACGGTGTCCTCCTCTTGTGCCAACAATTCCACGATCTTTCCAGACGTCGGGGCATTCACAGATACATCAATCTTGGAGGAAAATTGACGTGTAAGACCTGGAGACAAGAAGAGCCCGTACCTTGTCAGTCTCAATGGTAGCAATTTCATCGTCCGCGTTGACGCTGTCTCCGACTTGTTTTAACCATGTCTTGAGTGTTCCTTCCGTGATAGACTCGGCCATCTGCGGTACTTTGACAGTCTCCGCTGTGAAGATCAATTTGAGCGGGACTACGGGAAAAAGACTATTAGGGCGAAAGAACACACACCCTGCAAAAGATTTGTGGAATGGAAAGCAGCCCGTCGGGTGCGCGAGCTGGCAGCGGTCCTGGGTGGAAATCACGTCCTTTCAACTGGAAGTTTAAGCGGATATGGAGGAGCACCGACCATCCTTTGGACATGGTCAGAGCAGTCGCGCCATGTGCGCTGAGCTTGGCGCTGCGTCCCCGCGCAGCGTTGATGATTTGTTTCGACAACATCTCGGATTTCTACGGCCATGTAAGGAAAGGGCAGCTATCTGACATGGAGCGACCGCACCTTGAACCTGAGGAGTCTCGCGACTAGGCTTGTATGGGAGGTGGCCCAAGACGATGGGGAGGGTGGGTACTAACGGAAGGGAGGGATGGTGACAGCGCGTTTGCTAAAACTGGAGCGTCATCATGTCGTCGTTGATTGGACACCGCTCACTCGGGGACGGCCGGCTCTTTCTATTCCCGGACTCTGCCTGATTCCAGGGGCTATGGTCCGTATCCCCTTGACATCGTTTCGGGCAGTCACCAACGTTGGGCTGGCATCTCTCTCCGACCTTGGCACAACGATTACATCGACTCGACTAACAACTTGCTGAATGATCTATGCCTATAGGCTACTTCGACCGCGCGACAATATATCGTATCCGAGATGACAACTTGAATCAATCACCTTCCCCGAACTGGCCCATGATAAGAGCACCTCGTACATTCGAGCAGCGCAAACGAGACCCAGGAAAGGCATGCTCTAGACAAACTCAACGGCCGAGTTAGAGCGTCCGAGATCGGCAGCCGTGGGTACTCAGTACTCAGTGCTCAGTTCCGATGTCGGACTGTCAAGGCACGCGGTCACCTGACCTCAGGTGCCCTCACCGTCATTGTGACGAACCCACAGGCCTAAGGCCCGTCCCTCTGATCCTCCTCGGTTTCAGCTGAGTGTAGAGGTACAATATCACCATGAATACGTGTTCACGCCAGTCACACTGCGACATTCTATCCACCACATGGATCCCGACGTTGCTCAGCATCACCACAACTCGGGACCGACCCCGCCGTTCATTTAGCATTAAGTAACGACTAGCGATCGCTGGTCGTCGCTTCCACTTCGGGTCACGTCCGCCTCTATGTGCTATATAAGTAACTGCCCACTTTCACGAGCCGGGGCTACGCTTGACTGTCGCCACCCCAAAGCCATGGAAGCAGCTGGAGCGTTAGATGAGCTCACAATGCGCTGGCAGAATCGTATGGATCGCGCCGGCAACGGTGCGTACCAGGATGTGCGTGAGTCCTGCCTGGCTTATCCGCCTTACGACAGTCAGCGCGCTGTGCCTGTTTACGTGGGATCTCAGTCAGTCCATCAAGTAACTGTGTCATTCTTTCCGCACTCATTCGGCGATCAGTATTAACATTCCCGCGAGAAGTATGATAGGCACATGGTCTGTTCTGTTGCATACACTCATCAAGTTCCTCCTAGGTTCAGTACTTCTGGGTTAGCAACGCATTTGACAGCCTGGTCTTGAACGATAACCTTGGACAGGGCACACCTTGGTCCTTCGTCAAGGTTCTCTTCTTCATGGTCCGTGCCCAAATTTATGTTCCGTTATCCCATCAACTGTGTTCGTAGAATCGATATTTCACTTTCGTTCTAGTGATCTTTTCGGTATTCTGTGAGTTTCGTTCCATGTTGAAATCCAAGCAAAAACAGAGATCTTCCTGCAGTCGATTTGTACATGACCCCGGATACGGGAACGTGAGTGTGCTCATGTTCCTGTGAACATTTCGAAATTGATGTCTTTCAGTTGTACGTGAAATGTGCTCTGTACAGCCTGCCTTGATGTATTTCAAGGTCTTATGTGGGCCAAGTTTGACGTATTTGCCTGTGCGTTTTTGGTCGATTTTTGAAGCCGTAGTCCAACACAGGAGATCACAGCTCTCTTTGGTGCATTCATGGTCGAAGGTGCGTCCGCCAATCGTCTGCGTCTTCGTCTGCGTCTACATCTTGATGAATTGACCATCTTAGTAATCATGCAAATCCGACTACATGCCATGTATGGACAAGGTAATGAACTCGAAAAAGCTCTTGAATTTCCCATGTATCCAAAAAACCGCAGACAAGAGGCTGATCTTCGTCGTATCCATGTTTTGTATCGGAGAGCTGGGGAGCATGGTTTCTCTCTCGATCACACATTTCCCTGCTGCTTATTGTAAGCGGAATAATCCAGCGCAATCAGTGACTGCATTACTACAGCGGGAATGGCCCTTGTTGCCGGAACATCCACCACCCTTCCTTTCTGCAATAACATTGTTCCCTACAACTTCTACCCATATTGGTGCGTTTTAGTCCCCCTAGATTAGAAAGAAAAGAGGGTTCATTGTCCGCTCAGGATTGCATTCATGATTTTCGACTCGATTGTTTTTGTACTTGCGGCCAGAAAGGCGTATGTTCATTTCAACTCTATTCCAGAAAGCTCTTGGGCAGGCCATTCGCTGTTGCGCATCCTCATCCGGGATTCTGTTTTCTATTTTCTGTGGTCAGTCCCTCGCGCGCTTCCAGGTGCGATTATTGATGATCTCCCGTAAAGCAACATCGTTGTGTTTTTGGGTACCACTCTCCTTTGGAGATTCGCGTCTCCTGGAGTGGCAACAATTGCCAACAGCTGGTCGCTCGTTGTACCCTCAACGTCCGCTGGTCGTCTTATGCTCAACATGAGAGCAGCCGCCCGCCCAAAGTGTGATCAGATTTCCACTTCGGGTCTTTCTGCTCTTGGATCCCTGCACATCGGAGGCATCAATGCCAAATCACAAGCCACGACGGACAGCATTCGGGAAGACTCGGAAAGTATGGCGTTCGAAGGTGAATTATCTAATCTTGCCTTATCTTATCTTGCGGTTCTGACCGGCCAAAGCGCACGAGAGCGAGGATTACGAGTAGACAAATATACACATAAACAGTACATACATATACCGGTTATTTGGAGAACAAATCAAACAACTGGAGAGAAACGAGCGAGTCCAAAATCCAACTCCAAATTATCCGTCACGAGGGCTAGTGACCACGGTTTAACCTGGGGATAACTGGCACCATCGCCGATTTTTACGGGTATTAACTTTCTCACGGACAGGGAACCCCTGAGCGCTGGCGTCAGATTCGCCCACTGCTCGGTGCCGACATCTTCAGGATTCTTTCCGGCAGGCAGCGGCGGCTGCATCAAATTGAGAAGCTGACCCAGGATGGCGGTGCTGCTGGGAATGGAGAGGGAGGAGAGCACGGGTATCGGTCGGACCGTGGCCTGGAAGAAGGGAGTAGTACACCCAGGTTGAGAGACGGCAATGTCCGTCGATCCGTCTGCGCTGGTGTCGATGACAAAGTCTGCCGTAAGTTCTAGGGGCATATCGTGTAAGGACAAGAATCGAGCAGAGCCGGGAATAGTACGAACTTGGAATGTTCCAATTTCTCCTCCCTAATTTAATTCAGATTCTTCGGCAATGTATTATGAGTGCTGGAACGTACCATTGAGCGTGGACTCTTTGGTTGAGACATAGATTCTCGTGATGCGGAACGACTTGCTCCCATCCGAGTATTTGAACCGGCCAGGAATGTAGATCAACTCGTTATCTAGTCTCTGGTCGTCAGCAGGCCATCAAATAGGCACTCCACTTACACGGTCCTAGGGAGAGGGTGTTCACACATCTCTATTAGGTCTCGATCTGCTTACCGACTGGCGACTCCGCATATGACACGACCTGTTATCACGACTGTTAGACCGCAATAGCATAAGTTTGGGGAAAGAAGCACCATGACACTGCCTAGTCCACCAATGAACTCACCGCCTTGGGAGAGAGCATCGGCTTGGAACTCCTCACTCCATCCGGCCGGAAAATTGGCCTTGGGGTCCAGCGAAGAGATCAAGAAAGTCCAGCTTTTCCCCTTCAATTTCCAAGGACTATCTGACATCGCATTGAGAGAGCGCGACAGCACGGCAGTAACAAACGGACGCAGATGCCTTCATGATTTCCTCCATTGGAAACGCAAAGGTGAAAGAGAGGTGAGGGTCCTTTCGACGTTTGTGGGGGCCGATTTGTGGCATGTGATTGATTACGTGATAATTGTAATCGATGTTCAACTGGGTTTTGGCCTGCATTCCACACAGTGTCCGTTCGAAATATGTGTACACATGTCATTGCAAATCGAATGTATCAGTAAGCTTGTATTCCGTTCGCGGTCATCTGGTTCAACAAGCGGCCTGGAAAGAGTAAGCATATGATCCAGTTCTCAGCTGATATGCCGACCTTCCATCCCACCTTCGACCATCACGACCTGTCCCGTGACATGGCCGGAGACCGAAGGTGACGAGAGCATCACGACTTGCGTCGCGATGTCCCATGTCTCCGCCACCTTTTTCAGAGGGGTTCTGGCGAAACAATCCCGTCAATATCATCACGGGGCCGGTCCGCGCGGTGGGCACGTACGTTGCAACGGCCCGGAAGACGACTTGAGGATCCTTGAGCGCTGCTTCTGCCATGGGTGTCTTGACCCATCCGGGACCGACCGCGTTGACTCTTCCACGAGGCGCGATCTTGACGATTTCATTCTTGAGGGAGAGGACCAGGCCGTACATCAGGGCTGCACATGCGACGTGACATCGCGAGAAAAGTTTGTGCTGCGATTTGACGCACCGCTCTTGCTCGCCGCATAGTCTGCATGGCCCGCTTCTCCGTATTTTCCCGCGGTGGACCCGATGAAAAGCATGGATGCCGTGTGCTGCTGATCTTCGCTCGCGTTGCGCAGTTGCTTCAGATACGCTCGAGATACCAGAAACGCCGACGTGAGATTCACGTCCAAAGTAGTGCGCCATCTATCGAGAGACATGCTCTCCACCGGTTCATCTGCGGTGGGCCAGATCCCATGATTGATGATGACTATCTGCACAGGACCCAGTGTGTTACTGGCAGAAGAGAAGAGGTGATCGACGTCGTCTTCGTTAACCAGATTGGCCTGTATGCGAGCTACCCTGGCAGTTCCGTACTCTTCGACAAGCGCGTCGAGCGGGGAAGAGCTGGTGTTGTAGTGTGCTGTGACCTTGGCTCCCTGGGCTGCAAAATCGATTGAAACTTGCGGTCGTGGTGATTCGCACGAACAACCACGCACCAAGGAACAGGCGGGCCGTTTCCAAACCGATGCCTCCGCTCGCTCCTGTCAGCAGAGGTCGCATCAAACTTCCTGAACAAGGCATCGGGCCATACCTGTGATCAAAACATGAACGTCTCGTAGTTTCAAATCCATATGGTTGCGGGGGGACAAAGCCAGATCAGCAGATCGTGGCCTCATATCACGACAGTCACGTGATCGTGAAATTGACTTTCCCTTATTGGATCCTCAAGGCCTCACAAGCCGCATCATCGACCTCATCGGGGTCTGAGTAGTCCGAGAAATTCCGATGCTTCCGGAGAACCTTTGCTAGAGATTCATGCAGTCTAGTTTCGAGTTCCGGTCCGCAAAAAACTACCAAGCACTTCTTGCCTTGAGGGCCGGACCCAGCGGCATTGCGCTCCTCGGAACAACCAGCAACTCCCAATCGAGTCTTGAAAGCATCCTCAGCACGCGAAGTCTCAAGCTGTCTTCACTCTTGAGGTGTCCACGCGACTGTATCCTTCTCTGACGATCTTCAGCACCGGGCTTGGCACGGGATCTACGAGGTTGACCGTTGGAGTGGGACTGTTACCCCCCAAAAAGGGCTAGCTCCCGCAACACCCATCTTGGCCCAGCGAGACTCTCCGGCATTGACCGCGGGCAGTGGATCCTCGTCCAACATGAGTTCGAGTGGCTGATGCGATGTAATTGGAAATGACCAACATGGCGGCTAAATTTTGGCGGCATCCTACGGGAGTGCAAGGGTTGCGAGACTGTCAGTCGCGTCCGGTCATGATATTATTGGATCTCCTTGTTGCCCGGATCGCATCGCCAGATACTTGGGTCTCGCCGGCAGTTCGACAATGTGGAAGTTGACGGCAGCGAGTGTTATCAGCTGCCTCGACTCGCAGAACGGTCCGGATGAGCGGAGAAAACATTAGGATACTCTCCATCGCTGGCCGCGCCGATTCTCGGGATCCGCTTATCGGCCGTCTTTCGTTCGATCTGCGAGTGGTTCTGTGATCTTGACGATTCCAAGAAATCGTTCTGCTTGTTCCAGCTCTGCTTAGGGTCGATCCAGCAGATTGGGAATTCCGATTGTATCCATCTTTCGATTCTAAGCATCTACAAATCTATCATAGCAGGAAAGCATCCAAACATAAATCATAGCACACGTCTCAAATCTGCGGGGTCCACATCTTGCCAGAAACAAATTTGAGCAGCTCTGCATCGCTCATCTTGCGAAGCTCGGGATATCGGTCCACACCCTAAAGCTCATGAGACGATGCGCCAGAAGACAAGAAGACGATGGGGACATACAGCTTCCTGTGCAGCGCGAATGACCTGCACCGCAATTCCCCCGCTGATTTCCCGGACTGGGCAAGCGTCAGTCGGACCAGGAGTGCCAAGATATGAATTACGCACTCCGCTCAATCTGGGGATACAGCAGACCCATCGCTTCTTCCTGCGGGGTCAGCGAGTTGGCGAGGCCAAGCGAGGAAGCTTCGACCATGGAATCTGTCACGGACGAGCAGCGGGCGAGAATCGATCCGAGTCCGAGACCGGGGAAGATGTACATGTTGTTTCCTTGACCCGGGTACAGGGTGCGACCCTGGAACTGGAGCTCGTGGAACGGCGAGCCGGAGGCGAACAAGACCTTGCCATTTGTGTGGGTGACAGCGTCCTCAAAGGTGCACTCGGACAGCTTCACGGGGTTACTGAGGGGGAAGATGATGGGCAAGGGGTTCAGGGCGGCCATGGTCTGGATCACTTCAGTCGAGAACGCGCCCGAAGAGGTCGAGAGTCCCATGAGAGCAGTTGGCTTGACGTATTGGAGGACGTCGAGCAAGTTCTTGATGGGGGGACCGGTGTAATCGCGGCGAGCGAAGTCTGCGGAGAGCTTAGAGAACCATTGCATCCGAGGCCAGAGCGCATACATTCTTTGTGCTCGGCCAACGCGCCACGACCGGTATAGATCAGCCCCTGCGAGTCGACGAGATAGATTCGCTCTCGCGCCTCCTGCTCCGACAGGCCTTCAAGGGTGAAGAAGCTCATCAGCTGCATGGCAACTCCCACTCCAGCAGAACCCGCGCCAAAGAACAGGATGCGGTGCGATGTGAGAGGCTGGCCCGATGCTGTGGGCCGTCAGTCAGCACCGGCGGATGCACTCCGGAACCACTCGGCGGGGTCTCACCGGCTGATGCGAGCCTAGCAGCGTTGATGAAGCCGGAGAGAACAACGGCACCGGTGCCTTGAATGTCGTCATTGAAGCTGGATTTCCCTCAGCCGGCGATCCAGATGCAAAAGGCAATCTTGGAACTTACACGGGGTATCGGTTTCGGTATCTTTCCTGTTCGCAGGTGTGAGGGAGGAATGACGAGCCAGTGACGCACAAACGGGCTTACAAGGTATAGGAATGCGTGGTCGGTCGAGAAGTCCTGAAAAGGCTAAGCATCGAGTCCACTTGACAGAAGGCTGAGCTTGCCTCGAACTGAACGAGCAGCTTCGGGAATGTCACGGACATGGCCTGCATGAACTCATCCATAAATGCGGTCATCTCTTCCGTCGGCACACGCTTCTGGCGGAGTCCGAGGTAGAGCGGGTCGTCAAGGTACTTTTGGGTATTCGTCCCCAAGTCCAGGCAAATGGGGACGGTCGACTGTGGACGGATTCTAGATGGCAGTTAGACTTCTGGCCGGACAAATCTTGTAAACGTACCCAGCTCCGGCAATGTAAAGGGACAATTTACCAATGGAAATCGGCATCCCATTGATCCCGAGGTCACCCAAGCCGAGAATACGAGAACCTGCCGCGATCGGCGCTGTTAGCACAATACGACAGCCGTCGGCGATCCGCGGACGCACCATCAGTAACCACGCTGATCCTTGCGTCAGCCATCTTTGGCCAGTTTTGCACGACGGACAGAATGTTGCCCTTGTCCTTGATGGAAACAAACTTGCAGAAACGCGTTTCAACTTTGGAGCTAAGAGCAGGAACTGTCAACGTACGAGACCCTCTGGTCGTCTGCGGGAGGGCGATCGGTCAGCCACGGAACGGGATGAAGCAACTGGTCGAACGCACCGGTAGTTCTGGCTGTATTCCTGGCATGCTTGTCCAACGGTGGGCGTGTAGATGATGGGCGTGAACTCGGACATATGCTGGAGACACAGGCTGTAGAACATATGCGGGTCCTGCTCCTTGAGCATGGAGAGGTAGATGTATTTCTCGATGTCCTTGTCCTTCGAGCGCAGCTGCTTCATGCATCGCATCGCATGGATGCCTTCCTCGAGCGTCGGGGGCGTCAGGCCTTTCTTGGGCTTGGGTGCGGCTAGGGCATCGTTCGGTGTGCGCATGCAAGCTGCTAAACGGAAGACACGCACGTTGCGGCCCGGATTTGAGCTTCTGGACGCCGTTGCTCCAGTACGGGGTGAGAACGATGGTCATGACAAGGGAAAGAGTAGCAACAGGAAAGTGAGAGGGAAAAGACGAGCGCCGAAAAACGTGAAGAGTGGTACAACCATCCGGGGTATATATATATATATAGAACATCACAAAATCACCATCGGGACAACACGGGAGACGCCGATGGACTGGGTCTCTGTGCCAACGGCGGGGCTGGACGGAGATATTGGTCGACGGCGTTTCATCCGTAGACGTCTGTTCCTGGGGCTGCACGTGGCCGACGACTGCCGGTTGTTCTACGGTGAATTGCAGCTCCAGAATTGCGACCTGCGGCGCGTTCTTTGCAAGAGATACGACGAATCGCGCGTGGATTGCAGGCTGAATAGCGGTTCAATCGCGGCGGAATTTCACACCAAGGAAACCAAGGATTCTGAACGGTGTGGGCGGTCCTGAACCATTCCGAGTCGAAGGCTGATTATCACTATAGATGGTGAACGGATGGTGTTCCTATCGGACGGGACGACGGGGGACCAATAGGCAGCGCCGGCTGCAACGTGATGGTTTCACTGTGCGACATCCATCCTATCTCTGCACCATGATAGAACTCTGCTGAGCGGACTGACTGTGGCATCTATCGCTCGTTTGGAAGAGGGAAGGAGTGAGAAGTGCAGTCCAGACCCTGAAGTCCTCTTCTTGTCGTGCTTGGCAGCCAGACGAGGAGCAGAAGTAGAATTTGGTCTAGTGAAAGAGCGTCTCGAACAGTGATAATGATCGGCACTTCCCTATTTGGTATTGGTACCATTGGTATGGCTACCGACACTCCAGGTCTGGTTTGAACCACAACGTGCATAACTTAAGCCTAATTTTACACAGCTGCATGCAACGGTAGGCCCCCCGATTTACCAAACGGAAGTGACCTCGTCCGCACTTCTCTGAGAGGGCGGCGACCTGCAATTACAACTTATCTTTCCACCGCCCTAATCTCGAACTCCAGTCGGACGTCACCGGAACTATGGATTCTCCGCCCTCCTCGTCCTCGTCCCCGTCTATTCATGCTCGCTGTACAGCCTGGTAGACTTCCTTCCGTCTATTAAGACCGGCACTCGATGTGATGCGGTGCGCAGCCCTACTTTCAAGCCTCGCCCACCTTCATTTCCACGAGAAGACTGAAAATGCCCCTCAAAATCTGCACCCCATCCGTCATGACTATTATCCGAGCCGGCTGAAAGGCAGACCGCGCCATGTTAACAAACACTTGAGACTGGACGCCTCGTTTTCAACAACTCTTTGAGACTCTGGCCACTCTGGCTTTATTTCCGAGTCGTAAATCAAGCTCTCGACTCTGGCCGGTGGCCAGTGAAATGGTTTCCATTAGCAGCACCTGCAGCCAGTTTTATTTAAGATTCCGAAATTTGGTGCGCGATACACGTCTCGGTTCGGGACCCGAATGAATCTGATCTCCCTCGTACAGGGTCAACAACTCGCTGCTCAATCTTACACCGGGCCGATCACCCGGTCAGGAGATCTTTGAGAACGCAGTTCTTGCTGTCAATTTTGCATCACACCTTCATCACAAACCCCGCCTGCCCCGCATGTTGTGTTACTTCGCGCGCGGCTTCCGCCGCATTCTCTCACATCTGCTGGACGTCTTCCGATCGGCACCTCCCGGCAAGCAGCCTGTGCACTCGAGCCGGCCAGGAGGTCGCCGCCGTGGCTTCTTCGTAGCCCAGTAGCATTGCGAAACCTTGACCGCGTGATGTTTTATTTATATGCGTTCGACAGTCGATGCGAGAAAGAATCTTTCGAAGCCCTGAAAGATCTGCCAGAGCCCTGCCGGCTCATCATGTGCCGACGATGTTTTTCAGCCAGTACCGCGGAGAGTCGATGCTGGGGACCGGCGAAAAGGTGGATGGAAGGCAGCGGGGAGAGTAGACCCGTGGAGGCGGTACCAAGTGGGCGGTGTCTTGTAGGGCCTCGAGGATGCCGAGTATGTGACAAAGAGCCAATGCCCCAATATATTTCTGGGCCGAGATCTCAGAACCGCAGAGCCGTCAACGTTGGACAGCACACGCAGGAAAATTGTAAAAGTCTGTGCGATGGAGACTTGCCGAGCCGACGAGAAGATCCGATGGATAGCAACACATAGCCGCCGGGGACATCGGTTGCTCGCCCTGCCCGGGCTCTCGTGAATCGCAGTCAGAATCCTCGCAAATGTACGGTGCTCGCTATGTCAGAATGTACGCGAATGATGGCGGTTCTCGGAGATCTGATACCCCGCATCCCACATCGGATCCTCGTCCCGACGGGCCGGAATTCGACATGCGTCCGATTCAGTCGCAAAGGTATTCTGTTTTTCGTGTACATTGACTTGGAGGTGTGTGTATCGAGGTGACTCAAAGTTTCCGTAACGGGAGCCACACAAGGCACGAGTCGAAGAATTCGAAGCAGCCCCGATATAAGCTCAGAGCATCTTTGTTTGCCCCATTGTTTGCCCCAGCAATATTTCTGTCTGATCAGATCGAACACTTGTCACGCGAATCCTGCTCGGATGCTCGGTCCGGTCTGTTCTGAAACTGGACTGTATAAAACGCGCCCCTCATGCAGAATCTACCTCAAATCTCGCAAAATGTCCCCCATGGCCCTGTCCTCGCAAACCGCTGCCGTTCTCTATGGTGCCAAGGACCTCCGCCTTGAAGACCGCACCCTCTGGCCTCCTCAGGCAGGCCAGGCTCAAGTCGCCGTTCTCGCGACTGGCTTGTGCGGGAGCGACCGTATGCGCGGTCCTTTCTGCTCCTTGCCTAAGCTGACTGCGTTCCTCCAGTCCACTACTATCTCCATGGACGCAACGGCGATTTTGCTCTGCAAGCTCCACTTGTTCTCGGCCATGAATCGTCCGGTGTCGTCACTGCACTGGGGCCGGGTGTGAAAAACCTCGTCGTGGGCCAGCGCGTCGCTATCGAGGCCGGGGTCATGTGCAACAAGTGCTCCTACTGCGACTCCGGGCGCTACAATCTATGCAAAGACATGCGTTTCTGCAGCAGCGCCAAGACGTTCCCCCATCTGGACGGCACTCTCCAAACGCACATGAACCACCCTGCCTCTCTGCTCCATCCGTCAGCTGGTTTCTTCCCGTTTCCATGTGGTGCTTACTCACGTCCATCGCAGTCTTCCATCCGGTTGCTCCTTCGAGCAAGCCGCTTTGGCAGAGCCCCTATCTGTGTTATTACATGCCGCACGTCGGTCCCAACTTTCCCAGGGGCAGTCCACGCTCGTTTTTGGTGTCGGTGCCATCGGACTGCTCGCTTGCACTGTTGCCAAGTCCATGGGGGCTTCGCGCGTCGTCGCCATCGACATCAACCAAACGCGATTAGATTTCGCCAAGGAGCACGGCTTCGCAAGCGAGACGTACTGCCTGCCCATGACGGACCGACCGAAGACGGCAGAGGACCAGCTGCGCCGCTCTAAAGAAACCATCCAGCTCGCGCTTGAAAAGTTCGGAGAGACCGACGGGTTTGACGCTGTATTCGAATGCACCGGAGCAGAGCCTTGCATACAGATGTCCGTCCACGTAAGTGAGCCTCTTGTGCGGGATCTTCTCGAGCTAATTACGCATTCCTCTTTCTTGCTTTTCCGCCTTCCGTTCATTTTACTGTCCTCGTTTCCTCCAGGCCGCGATCGCAGGGGGTAAAGTGATGCTCATCGGGATGGGGTCTCGGAACGTTATGCTGCCCTTGTCCAATGCGGCTACACGCGAGGTCGACATTCTCGGCTCTTTCCGTTATGCCAACACGTATCCCGCTGCTCTCGCATTGCTGGCAGAGGGCAAGCTTGATGCTGTCGACAAGCTCGTCACCCACCGCTTTGAGCTTTCCGAAATCGGGCATGCATTCGATCTTCTGGCAAAGGGCAAAGACGAGGAGGGCAACATGGTCCTCAAGGTCATCGTTGGCCCCAACGCACCCAGTCCCAGCTCTACTCCCAGTCCGAGTCCTTGCTCCAGCCTCAGCTCCAGCCCGTAGGACACAGCCCCTGCGTCCTCTGTATTCCCTCCGTCGTTCCTAGACCTCTCGGTATCTTCTCTGTGCAAATCTAGCTGCATCTTCACTGCAGTCGGACTCTCTTACGTAGATGGATGGATTGGCTGCATCTTCTATCTAGGACTATACCTATGTTTGACATCTCTACCAAAACCTGCAATGTATTTCTATGGCAATCTCCGTGCTTTGTCGTGCATCACCCGAGGACACAACTCTCCCATAACAATACAATGTCTCATTAAGGCGCACTGCTGGATATGGCAGCGATGACCCGCGTGCACATGACTCGCGGTCGCCGATACTGCTGACGGACGACTTGCCAGTGAAATGCGTGATCTTGATCGGCGAGGTGAGCAGGCGCGAATTCCACGTTCAAGATTAGCTTCAAACGCGCGCGCGACGTCGAACTCTAGAAGGCCGAAGAACCGCGATCGTGTGCTGGGCCGTGTATTTCCCTGGAGTGCAGTCTCGCAGTTGAAAGCGTCGGCGCCTCCCTCTCGGGACTTTCCGTTGCATGCGGCAGCGCAGTCAACTCAACGGACTAGAAGCCATTAGCCGCAGGCCAACGATCATAAGGCGTGTCGTCGAATCGCATTGTTTGAGCTGTAACAAAGAGAGGGCGAGAGAGAGAAAACAGTTGGCCGTGAAATTCGTTTGGCAAAAAGATTCTAGACCCCACAGTTTGGCAGAGCATTTTTCTATGGTCTCGAACGTAGATTTCCCGATTTGGCTGTTGCCACAGTTCTTTTGCGACTCTGACTTACTAGAGGGCGGAGTCGGTTCCTCGGCTTTACCGGTTTCAACAACCGGCCACGGGCAGGAAGATACTGTTCCCCGTACCCCTGATAGAAGACATGGATGAGATCCACCTTGGGCCGGACATCAGGTCCGGAATGGTCAAGATTCACGACGGCTAAGCGGCGGGGGGCTGAGAACACGATCCTAAGGGACAACCCCAGACGGTAGGCCGTAGCCGACGTCTCGAGTGAGTGGAACTTGCGTGTGCAGACATCTGATCAGGGCCGACACGCGTAAGCCGGAATTATCAATGGTAAAGAATGACAGAGAAAATCACAGAAGGACAAAAGAGCTACAAGAAGGACGGACGGAAGGGGTTTTCTGAGGGCACGGGGTCGAAAACATGTCTCAGGAATAGTCCCGAAAGCTTCGTGCCAAGTTCACCGCTCTGTCCCGATTTAAATCTGAGGGTGGGGCGGCGAAATGTTTTGTGATTGAAGAGACCTCGGTGGCCCCTTCACCAGTCGCCCGAACGGTCTATCAGAGTGCACGACGTCAACGCAGGGCCGTTCACCCGGCTGTGTGTGAGAGAATGACCATTACGGGTCGCTCTCTACACAGGATACATCACAGAGGAAGTTATGTGGTGCTCAATATCAGCACCTGTCATGGATTCCGATGACCAGCTCGAGCGTTCACGTGTTGACTGAGTTTCTCGTGAGATCCCCGATGTCTGCAGCGGCGAGAGACTTGGGAACGATAGTCAACAGATTAAACTCTTGATTTTGTGTACCAAATCTGGTTCAGATAAGCTCTGGACGTGCGTTCGGTTCGATTATCTCGAAAGTACGCAACAGATCAATCACGCCATGAAAGCCAAACGAGGATGACTGTTGTGCCACCGAGAGCACGACTGTGGACATGCATGGTAGAATTAGTCGTCTTCCCGAGCGGGATTTGCCAGGGTTCTGGAATTCGGCGTCCGTGAATAGGCCGGCGTAGATTGGACGAGACACCAATTCAGGCTTCGAAGTTTCTGATTATCTGCTGTTTTCCGGGTTGAGTTGTTTGCCCAGATCTGTCGACGGCCCGAGTTCCTGCGAAAGTATCACTGATTTACTTCGAATCTATTTTCGACAGCAGATGAGTATCATTACCCAGCCTTGAGATCCGAGTCTGTGGGACTCGAACTGTCCCAGGTGAGAACATCGAGCACAATTGGAAGAGCGTGTAATGTCAACATGTGCCGCGAACCTAGTTCGTGAGACTGGAATGCGCAACATATGCCGTGTAATCTGCTTCTGCAGCTCATGACAGATTCAGCGCATCATCCGCGAGGCCGCCGTTCGAGGTGGGAGGACCATGGGAAGTGGAGCAGCTGAGGAACTTGATCGATGATCAATAATGTTTGATTGAAGATCAGGCGCGTTGTTGATCGTTTCAACTGCACTCCGATTTGAGCTAGAACTAGCTATCCAAGTCGGTGACTGTTTAAGCCGGCCTATGCTTCTGTACTCAAACATATCCCAGTGGTTGACTCGAAGATGCTTTCCAGGGTCGCTGGGCCCATGGTCAATCAATCCGACCTCCCATTTCGGACTCTCGTGCAGCGTTACAACACGACCCTAGTCTACACGCAGATGCTCAAGCCTGACCGCCTTTTAAACGAACGCGACTATCTGGATTTTCATTTGCGGGATCTGTCACTCCTCCCTGCCACTGAAGAGCATCCCGTGGTGATACAAATTTGCGGCAACGATCCTCAGCAGATCGTTGATGCGGGGCGGAAAGTGCAGAACTATTGCCAAGGAATCGGTGAGAAACAATTGATCGGTATATTTTCATCTCAAGATTTCGAAGATCTGAATTTGGGGTGTCCGCAACAGTCCGCTATGGACGAACATTTCGGAGCGTACCTGCTCAGCCCACGGGATTGGCCCCTGGTGGAAAACATCGGTGAGAGCTTGTTAGTTCATGAGCTCCTTTCACGCTATTATTCAAGTTTTGCTTCACAGTTTCGTGTATGGCTCATTCTTTCACCGTTCCAGTCTCCGCCAAACTGCGACTGTGCCAGCCAGCTACGAAGACGCGCGAATTGGCTCAGCGACTGGAAGCGAGCGGCGTGTCTTGGCTCACTTTGCATGCCCGCACGGTCTCTGCGAGACACAGACGCCACGGTCCAGCTGATCTCGCTCAGGTCAAGATTCTGAAAGACGTTCTTCGAGTCCCGGTCGTCAGCAATGGGAACGTTCGTACTTGGGACTGTCTTCGTCGAAATTTGGATGAAACTGGAGCTGATGGGCTTATGGTTGCAGAAACTCTGCTGGGCAATCCGTGGTACTATGTCCTCATCCTAGTCGGAGCGATGAAAGCTGATCCAACCGCAGTCTGTTCTCAGATAATCATCTTCTACCTGATCCCGTTGTGATTTCTCTCGAGTACCTTGCGCTCTGCAAGGAACTGGAAACGGCTACGCTCCCCACAATCGCTGCACATGTCAAGAATATCTTCGGGTTCCAATGGCAGGTTGTCCAAGGCCCAAAATCCCATTGAACTGACTCCCGCTGGATCTCAAGTGATCGGAAACCTTGGTACAACGCCTTCAAATCTTTGTTGGAAAAATGCACAGATCTGGCTGAGATCGAGGCCTTGCTACAGGGACAGGTTGGACGATGGAGACGCGGGTCCGAGCCATCGAGTGTACCAATCGCTGCGGAGCCAGATTCAGCATCTGATGGTATCGAAGATTTGTTCTTATAACGTCTGGTTTAGTTTGTTTTGAAGCGTTACCGATGTACCCACACAACTGGCTCAACTTGGCTCAACTTGCTTCTAACCAGGTTTGACAGTGCAGATCACGTAGACAGCGTGTGAATTGATGATATGATCGAAGCTCGACCATGGCTTATGTGGACGGTGATCGCTTGCGAGCGGCTAATGTAGCGCTGCCCAGGAGAGACTTGCCGTCTCACACTTTCCCCTTCAGCGTCTGCTGTTCCATCATTTCGAGTTGGTCGCCTCTCACTGGGGACGGCCAAGCGCACTGGAAAGGTTGCCATAGGGTGAACCAGGACAAGTACTCCCTATCCCGTCAAGAAATCAGCATTGAATGTTGTTCTCGTTGGTTGAGATCTGTCAAGGTCTCTACAGTAGTTCCACTCCTCTCATGCGTCGGATCACAGGACACGTTGTCTTTCGCTGCCCCAGGCACGAACGGAGCTCGCGTTCGGACCCAGAAGAGATCGAGGCGACGGTGTACCTCTTTCTCAGCCGTGGCCGACACGAAGTAGTACGCCGGCGCCAACGAGCAAATTTTCGGCAATATGGACTGAAAGGCCAAGGGCGTGTTGATGGAAACCAAGCTCTTCTCTGTGCCGGTACGTCAATGAATCAGCCTTGCCTACGCGTGGACTGTTGTACTCAATGATCGTCCAAGCCCGAACTGGGGCTCAAGCACATCGGCGATCATTCGCCTGAGAGCATCCGCAAGTTCTGCCAGATGTCGCTCGACGCTCTCAAGACTGAGTCCGCACATCGTTTCGGAATCCTTGAAGTTTCTCTCACACTCGCGCAGACAGGTCGAGATGTGGTATCTGCACGGCCCTGACCACCGCAACTCTTTCGAAGATTCGCTTCGCGCGGTCAACGAACTCTACAAGGAGGAGAAATTCAAACGCCTAGGCATCAGCAACTACACTGCCTGGGGGGTTGCCGAGATCGTCGGGATCTGCGAACGGCATGGATGGGTGAAGCCTACGGCATACGAAGGACTTTACAACGCGATCCACCGGGCGGCGGAGCCAGAACTGTTTCCCTGTCTTCGCAAGTTTGGGATTGCGTTCTACGAATATAACCCACGTCAGTATGACGTCGTGTGGTCGCAGCGTTCATGACTCACATGTCTTGCAGTTGGCGGAGGCTTCTTCACTGGGCGTTACACCGGCGCAGACAGTGGAGCGGACCCTGGGTCTCGCTTCGACAGCAGCCATGCAGCTGGCACGGCAAGTCGTATGCTTCCATCTGCAGCTCTCTGATCTCATCTGCGTTTCAGATGTACCGGAAGCGCTACTGGAATGACAGCTACTTTGAAGCACTTGCCGAGATCAAACGGGTTGGCGAGAAACATGGGCTCACGTTGCCCGAGATTGCGCTGCGCTGGATTAATCACCACTCTCTCATGAAAAGGGAGCACGGTGACTCGATCCTCATCGGTGCTTCTCGGAAGTCGCATCTAGAACAGGTACTTACTGTCCATTCGTGTTGCCTTCTGGCCATCGACTGATGGCTAACGACCCGTGCAGAATCTCGTCGATCTTGAGAAGGGACCCTTGCGTGAGTGCATCTGCCAGCCTCGGTGCATATCGTTGACACCTATCTTAGCAGAGGAAGTGGTCAAGGTGCTGGACGACATGTGGGATACGAAGCTCAAAGGTGTTTGCTCAAGCTATGCATTCCAAATAACATGTAAGGGTGTCGTATCCAGCGGTAATTTACACAGCAAAGATATAAAACGTTCATCGCTTGTTCCAACTAACCAGAAGATATATCATCGGTGTTGATCACTCGAAATGCACTCTTGCTGTTGTCAGCGGCAGGAGCATCGAAGACCGATCTGGGCGTAGTGGAGGCCGCGTAGCTGGGCGGCGGTGGCATGGTCTCCGGCGCAGAGCTGCGCAATGTGCTGTGACGCAGTCGTTCATACCTCTGGGATTTCGTCGGCAAAAGCTGCGCTGTGTGGCCCGTGGGTTGATCCTGACGCAGCTGTCTTCTTCGTCGGAAGTAGAGAAAAGTAACGGCGAGGACAATCACAACTACGGCAATGACGAGGCAGATGATCAGCACCCAGCTCATGTCCCGGTGATGGCTCTGGTTGCCGCCACCGTCTGTGCTCGCCATGATTTGGGGCACGTTCGGTGCGGCAAGAACATCGGATGTGCCGACCAGTTGATCCCACGGTGCCATCCCAAACTTGCCTTGGACGATGGCCGACGTCAGCGAGATGGACAACATGGCAAGAAAGGCGCTCGGGCTGCTGAAGTTCGCACCGAAACTCCAGGACTGGTCGGTTATGACAGTATCCGAGCTGCCGTCCGAATAGCCGACTTGCATCGCTGCGATGAGCCCAGCAGACGACAGTTGGGGCGTCTGCATGTCGTAGAGGAAATTCTGCGCTATGAAGTCAAAGACGAGCGATGTCGAGTCGATCGGAAATGCGACTTGTTGCGCGTATTTCCACGAACGATAAAATTCGGTCGTAGTATTCGGGCCGGAGGGGGGTGCAGCGATAAACACGCCGTTGACATACAGCGAGAAGGTGTTGTCACACGAGATGAGAGCTGTACCAGAAACAGCGGTCTTGCCCGCCGGAATTGAGAACCTCTTTCGAAAGCCTACAGTGCCGACAGGTGCGACCAGGAATGCGGACGCAATTGACCAGATCCACGAGCTGCCGTCTAGTGAAACGGGGGAGGCCGACACTTCAGCAGAGGGTGCTGGTGGCTTGGGGAGGGTGCGCGAGACGATCGGCGAAAACAGCGATAAATTCTGCGGGTTGGGGAAAGTAATCGGCACATTTGCGGTCGCCAACCAGCTCGAGTCCGAGACGAAGGTGCTGGACGGCACCGACCCGGAGAAGTCGACCCGAATCGACGCACTGATCGCCGGCACGCAAGTCCCGTTCTGCACCAACACTGAGAAGATGTTCTGAGTCGTGTTCAGCCCGACGCGCGCGACAATAGGCGTGGTGAGGTTCTTCGTCTGCTGCCCCACCGGCTGCCCATTCACCCAGAGGGTGACAACATCAAAGCAGGCAGCGTTGACTGTCACGGTCGCATTCGCTGCGGGCAGTGCCGACGTTGAGACCAGTTGTTTATGAAATCCGACTTGCGATGTCGATTTGTCGAGGGTTCCGTCAGAGGAAGCGGCCGATATCCATGCTGCGGATGCAGATGGCTGTGTGTCCCTTGGCTTCAGAGACGTTTGTCGGCCACGAATGACCCGGGCATCAACACCTGGGCGCTTTCGTCAGCGAGCAGGAAAGGTAGTCGCAGTGCGGGCTTACAATTATAAGAGGTTAATGGGAAAAGGAGAACAATAAGGAAAGGAATGAGAAGTGGACCTAGATGTATTCCTCGAATCAGATACCACGATGAGGTAGCACACAGTGGGAACCGTCGCACCTACGAAAGCGTCACTGAGCATGGAGATCCTATTTCCACGTGGCCCGCAGATTCGCGAAGAGTAAACGAAAATTAGCTCGCCTTGCGAGGTGGAACAGTCGAAAGGAAAGGGCTAAGCACTGAGCGGCCTGATCATATGTGCTTGATTTTGCTTCTGTGGGTTACAAATTATGACTGATGTCGGCACAGTCAGAGGCGGAGTACGCTCAGCCATTGCTAAGCTGGTACACCATCGAACGGTCTCCCCGCACGATAGTAGTCTTGCGCTGAGTTCAAGCGAGGTCAAGCGAACGGAATTCCAAATTTACCGATGCTCGAGGCATGAGGACGACAAGATCTGGATCGGGTGCAAGAACCCTCCTGTATAGCCACTGCGCCGTAATGCACAGCAGGCGAGCGGCGTACATATGCCTTTCGATGTCGGATCCAAAAATCGCCGTTTTGGTCAGATCCATCTTCACGTATTTGCTCGGAAGTCGTCCGCAAACGGATCGCCAGAGGTGAATTCTCCATTGTTTCGTCCGCACGTCAGATCGGACCTCCGCAGCCTCAGGCCTGAGCATCCGTCCACAAGGGGATTGGACCTCCACTCGTGGGCCACATACATGTAAACCTGGAACTAAAAATGGAAATTAGGCCAGGGTTGTCTTTTTACAATAAAAGGAGCACGAATTCTGTTTTGCTCTCAGTGTTTTTGAAATGGTACATCCGCTGACGGGGTCCAGGACTGAGAAGTAGTGGTGGTGCATGGTTTGAGATCCCTTGAGCTTGCAAGCGGCTTTTCGGTAAAAAAAAAATCTTAGCCATTCTCCGAGGCACTCCGGAGGGGCGCAAACAACGGAGGCTCTAAAAATCGGTTTGTATGTCTGATATTCCGGTTCATAAGATATGTTTATATTTCTTAATCAAGACATGATGAAAAAGACACTACCTTATGTAGCTTTCCTGAAATACAGGATACTGTAGCTCTTAAGGAGCACCGCACTCTGATCAGCAAAATATCAAGGTCTGAAATGAAAGAACCTTTTGTGCACATTTTTGTTGATATCCTGGCCCTTCATCTCATCCGCAATATGAAAGAAATCAGCAGGTACATTGTTACTGTTGATTGCAATGGTCCGGATAAATGGCAACGGTCTGGATAATCAAGTCGCACTCACTCATTTTGTGACTTATTGCCTCAGAATTTTATGCAACTCACAACTGTACATGTAGACTCAATGTATGCAAAGTAGCTAAGGAATCCGTCCCAGTGATTGAGTGAACAAGACTTGTTGGTACTGTCATAATTCAATCACTCTTCTTTGAGAGTAAGCAAAGCAGGCAATCCATAAAATGGAAAGCATCATCAAGAATGTGCATGGGTAGAATACGGTCCCTTGCAGCTTGCGCAATGAAAACCATGGTGTGGATCAGCTTGTTATTGACAGTGTTGGCGCTGTCGTCCTAACACAGAATCAACTTATATTGGAAACGGACATAAAAATTGAACTGTACCGCATTGATCTGCAAGCTGAAGAAATCTGGGGGGAGCTTGTTGGTGTCAATATCCATGGACAGTGCAGCCTAGTAATTCAAATTGATCTGAGTTGTTCGGAAAAGTAACGCACTTACTGGCAGATTCACCACTATAGGTAGACTGGTATGAGACCCTAACAGGGTGGTCAAATGGGTCATTTTTGGTACCCGAGTAGGGTCAAATACCACATGCTTTGGCAGCAACCACCCTCAATTTGTGAGGATTGAAACTGGGCCCCAATGATCAGTACTGCCGAGTAGAGGGCCTGCCGGGCTTGGATATTTATGTAGGCATAGCTAGCATCAAGGTGCTAGCCCCCTAGGGGCTCATGGCACACCCTGGGCCTACTGTTGCCCAGATATGGAAAATGGCCCAATCAGGCCAGTATTGTCCTGACGCTGGATACAGCAGCTTGGTACTGAGCAGAGGAGCATTTTGAATATGCATGTATACTGAGAACATGCTCTTGTACTGATTGGCTTAGCTGGGGCCTGCTGCAGGTCAAATGCCCAAATTCCCAGGATCATGCCAGTAGGGCCTGTGAGCAATCTATGGTAGCTGTGAATGGGTCAGAGGAGCACTGAACATTGATATACACTCCTCTCACCTGTGTTCTGAGTTATTGGTGCATGCTGCACCTGCTGCAGGTCAAAGGTCAAATATGGGCATTTGCCTAATTGGGCTGGTATACCCACGGGGATGGATGTTAGAGCATTAGATCAGTTGTAGGTAAATCCTATAGTATTAGAAACTCTGTGGAATACTGGTGTCATGATTCAATCATTTTTCACAATCATTCCATCGATCACCTTATCTTATCATTGACATGGGACTATCTTATCACGGATCACGGCACCACACGGTCTGGGCTTAGGGTTCAAGAGGGTTATCTGTACAAGAGGTCACACGGCGTGTGCTCCAGAAGTCTATACTACAACCCATGACCAAAGCTCCACACGGTACATAGTCAGATGACTTGTTTGATGTAGATAAGACTCAGACTGGACTTAGTATAAATACAGTAGCCATTGTGTTGTATTCTCCAGTCTTGGAATTGACTTGTCTTTTCGATCATATTCTGTGTTGATTGTCACATAATTCCAAGACTCCCCTCATACCCTCCTACCTCTTATCTCCTACCACTGCACCCCTCACCGCTACGCCCGCTATATCCTCTTCACCCTTATCATCTGACTCACCCTTCTACTGAATCATCTAGTCGTTCTCTGCGATTGCAGTGAAGGGTTCATATCGAGCAAACAGCACCAGGCCACGGTTAATGTTGAGCCCGACCCAAGCCTTACGGTAGCTACAAGGAGTGCTGCGGAGACCTTCGGGAAAACGCACCTTGGGATCATCGGGCACGTGAAGAGCTAGGCCCGGGATCTTTTTGCTAGCAAAAGAACCTTTCCTCGAGTGCTTGTACAGCACACGAATCCACCATTTTGTTCTGATTCCCATCGTCGTCTGGGAGTCCGTCTCCTCCCCCCATCGTACCATCGTCGTCCGATCTGGCACACCAAAACCAACCCGGGACCTCTAATCCCTACCTCGCCCTCCTGCCGCCTGAAGACGAGATCCCGGACCTCAACGATTTACCCTCCAAACAACCACCTCCACCTACCACGCCTGCTCCTACCATGTCAGGACATCACCGCATCACCCTCGCCGCCAATCCCCCCTACTTCGATGGCAACAAGTCCAAGTACCTGGGCTTTGTGGACGCGTGCACCACTTACATTGGTGCCTATCAATCAGAGTTCTCACTGGATGAGACAAAAATCCTCTTCGTCCTTTCCTACCTCCGTAACGAGACCGGCACAAGCTGCGCCGCCTCGAGATGGGCAATGAACTGGAAGCAGCACAATTCCGAGGGCTTCCAAGGACTGAAGGCTGGGGTCACCTCGGCGACCTTCTTGGAGGAGCTTCAGAGGGCCTTTGGGGACTCCAACGCGGAGCAAGTTGCTGCCGCTCGACTTATGGCTCTACGCCAGAATAGACGATCCTTTGCAGATTATATCTCTGACTTCGAGATGCTGGCTGCGGATGCGGGGTACAATGTGGTCACCTCGACCGATGACAAGGGCGAATACAAGAAGGGGGATCAGGACAACATCCTCATCGAGTTCCTCGAGCGCGGTGAAATGCTGAGGGCGCGCTCACAAGTGAATCTACTATGAAAGTAAACCCAAATATAAACATGTTCACACTCCTCGTAATCAGCTTCTCAGTGTGTGAAAGATGCGAGGGCTTCGGGGTGGATAGAGCACCAGTATCCCAACTCTCAATAGACGCAGATCCAATAGTCGCGGAAGACGAAGTCGATGACAAGAATTTATATATAGCAAACAGTGGTGTCTCAACCAATATCTTCTATACGAACAAAACCAACACTAATCCAACCACAACCAACAATATCACAAGTCAGAGCTTAATACAAAGTATTAAGATCCCTTGTAGTGACAGCGTCCAGATGGCGACGCAAAGCCCAAATATCCAGTCGACGCACTGCCAACCGATATAACCAATATACTGAGTCGACGCACTGCCAACTAGTAGAACCAAAATGTCAAGTCGACGCACTGCCAACTAAGACAACCAAAGTACTGAGTCGACGCACTGCCAACTAGTAAACCAAAATGCCGCGTCGATGCACTGCCAACTAACAGCCAATATCCAATGTCCAAAACCCGAGCACAACTTGTCGACGCACTGCCAAGCAAGAAGTGTGGAACCAAAGTTCTCAAGTCGACGCACTGCCAACTGACCAAAACTACCCGAGCACAACTAGTTGACGCACTGCCAAACTAGAGGTGTGGAACGATCTCAACAAAGCCCAAAGGCGACGACACGAAATGCTGCGACTAAACCAGATGCGGCGGATCCGACTTTCTGATGTCTCAACACTCAAACTCAAATCACAGTAGCTACAAGTGCTCAGGGAGCAACTTGTTGCAACTAGGCAGGGATAACAGAACTTCTTAGGGAGGGATCATGCAACACGCAAATTGTGGAAAACAATCTGATATGGGTATGATTCACAGTCTAGGGGAAAGCTCCCTAATACAAAGAAACATCACACTACTTATACTGTCTACACTGGTGCTTAGTAAAGTCCTGTACAACTGCATAGTAGCTACGCTATCTAAGATCGGTTGCCTTTTAGAGTAATGAAAAGTTGGACGATCGGACAGGTCCTGAGTGATCAGGACCCCACCCCATAGTCCATATGGTACTTTTGATGTGGGTCAACCCGCCGCGTCATACTTTGGAATACAACGTGCTGGATTGGCCAACAGGTATGTCTTGGCAAGTGAGTCCAACGTGGGTGCCCCAAGAAGCGGTATGGCCCTAGGCACGCCAGTTGTTCCTCACATGGTTTGGTTCATGGATCTAGCCCGTGCCAATTTTAGTGTGTTTGGGTATGGGCGCAACTCGCTGTGACACTGGGAAGTGTCACCGCGACGCGTCCACAATGTCCCGTGATCGAATGGATCCTGACATGTGACAAGTCGTCGCCGTGGCATGATCTGAGGAAACGTCCAACCCAAAACCGGGAGTTGCCGCGACAAGATCGGTTCAATCTTGTAACGCCAAGTCCAGTCTTGTAGTAGTTGTAACATTGAGAACGTCGCACATTGCTCAGCCCTTCAGCCCAAGTTCCCATCTGCAGAGAATGACCCTTTTGAGAAGTCGCCGCAACGAAAGATCCCTTTTGGGGAATTGTCGCGGTCCAAGCGTTCGTCACTAATAGCCCTGAGCCTGGTATAGACTCATAAGACCAGTTCCACAGTAGTGATCTGACTGCCTTGCTATCGTCGACACTATCCACAGTCGTTGACTGGGCAGTAGACCCTTAAGCCCTACTGAACGTAACACTGTCAACCGCGACACGATACACCAAATGGTTCAAGAGTAAACTCTGTAAAAAGCGCAAAAATACGCCCTTACAGAGCTGGTGCAGAGCGCGTCTGGTAGCCAGCCTATCAACGGACAATGATGGGAATTGGAACAAAATGGTGGATTTGTGTGCTGTACGAGCACTCGAGGAAAGGTTCTTTTGCTAGCAAAAAGATCCCGGGCCTAGCTCTTCATGTGCCTGATGATCCCGAGGTGTTTTCCCGAAGGTCTCTGCAGCACTCCTTGTAGCTACCATAAGGTTTGGGTTGGGCTCAACATTACCCGTGGCCTGGTGCTGTTTGCTCAAGATAAACCCTTCACTGTGATCGCAGGGAACAACTAGATGATTCGGTAAAAAGGTGAGTTGGTTGATAGGGGTTAAGAGGATATAGCGGTGAGGGATGCAGTGGTAAGAGGTATGAGGTAAGAGGGTATGAGGGGAGTCTTCAAATTATGTGACAATCAACCCGAAAATAAAGTCAAAAAGAGAAGTGAATTTGAAGACTGGAGAATACAACCAAGTAGCTACATTATTTATTGTCAGGGGAACCCCCGCTTCGGACCGCTCTGCCTTCGATCAGGCATGTGATCGCGCTCGCGTGACCTGTCAGCTGTCACGCGCCGCGGCCCGGACTGCCGCGCCAAGCGCTTCTCTCTGATGGGCACATGGTCAGCTGTCCCATCGTTCCCACTGTCTCGGTTTCCTATTGTTCTCCAATGGCCATTGTACTTATTGTTCCCATTGTTCTTTGTTTGTTGCTGCGCGCTCTATTGTTCTTGTATCATATAAATAGTGGCGCCTGGCAAGGAGAATCCCCAACACGGTTTCTCTTTGGATTCTCCCTTGCCAGGTATGCCGGTCTTGTACCTAGCTACCACTATTGACACTTTGGATTCTCCCTTGCCAGAACTCTGAGATCGGGTCTCAAGGTTGCCCTTACAGCAGAAACCGTGTTCCTAGGGATAACTGGTCAAGATTGCGAGGTTCGACGCCGACAGTAACAGCGGAGACGAGTCGACGAGCGACCAGGACCGCCAATCCGTCACCTCTTTTCTTGCCCCCTCCTCCCCTCCACAGGCACACTCGACCAGCATGGAAGACGACAACTCCCAGCATCGACTGTCTGCCCTGGAGACCAGCATCCAGAACATCGAAGCCATACTCAATCAGCTCCTCAACCAACCACAACCCCCTGCCCCTGCCCCTGCCCCAGCTCCGGCAGTGGGTCCAGGTGTTTCTGCTGGCCCGCAGTCGAACACTGCGCGCCCCCTCATCCGTCCCAACCCCCCCTTCTCGTTCGATGGGGATCGCACCTTGGGCAAGAGCTTCTTGCACTCGGTGAAGCAGTACTGGCGACTGCTTCCCGAGGCGTTCTTCGTGAATGGGGTAGTCGCTGAGGAGAAGGTAGTCCGCTTCGCCCTCTCCTACATGTCCAAGGACTCGGCGGCCTCCTGGTCCGAGCACATGTCCGAGCGCACCCCGTTCCCGTTCCCCACTTGGGCTTTGTTCGTCACCGAGTTCAAGCTCCGATTCGTCGAGGAGAACGAGCAAGACCACGCCTTGGCGCGATTGGAAACCCATCAGTATTATATGGGCTCCCGCGACGTATTCAAGTACATGGACGAGTACGACGACCTCCTTGACCTCGCTGGTTATACCGACAACTTGGTCAAGGTGACCAAATATAGGACGGGCTTGGACCCGAAGATCAACCAAGCCATCACCACCTCTGGTAACCCTCCCAGCCTCACCGACTACGCCGAATGGCGTGTCTGTGCATTCCGGCAGTACAATGCGGAACTCGCTGCCAGAGCTTCTCGAGGCCACGCAGCGCCTCCTCCCCGAGCGCCTGCTGTTGCCCCCCGTCCTCATGCCCCAGTGCTCCCTGCTGTAGCACCGGCCCTCGCTGCCCGCCCGGCGCCCGCCCCTGTCACCCATCCAATTCCCATGGAGGTAGACCGGGCCCGGCTCCGTGGTGACATTCGACGCACCTGCTTCCGCTGCAGCAGTCCGGGTCATCTTGCCCGTGACTGCCCCACCCCAGCTGACATACGTCACGCTGATGTCCTTGATGAGGTCATCAATCAGCTGGGGAGTGATCTGCTTTCCGAGTTGGTTGCTCGGGTCGCGACCACTGCAGCCGTTGCGGATCATGCGTCCAACGTCGCAGCCGAGGAGGAGCAGGGTTTTCTCCCCAGCGACAAGTGAGTAGTACGCCCTCGTTCGCTTCACGTAATCGTTTCTCCTGTTTGTATGATGAATCCAATTCCCTCCACTCTGCAACAGTTGAAGCGATAGACGTACACCCTGCTCCCCCTCTAACCCCACGAGTCCGTAAGGAGAAGTGGGAACGCAAGCTCCCTTCCTGCTATGTCGCTGCCGCCTCTCCCGGAGCCAATTCTCTCCACCTCCCCCTCGAGATCGAGTCCACCGACAACGCAGTGAAGTTATCTCTCAAAGGCCTGGTCGATTGTGGTGCCACATCCGACTTCATCGACTCGGCCTACGTCCTCGAAAATCACCTCCCCGTTTGTCGCCTCACCCAGCCTATCCCCGTTTACAACGTGGACGGCACGCCGAACAAGGCCGGTTCCATTCGCGAAGTTGCTGATGTGGTTCTCCGTTACCAGGGCCACAGTGAACGCGTGCAGCTTGCTGTCACCCGTTTAGGCAAGCAGCAGCTCATTCTAGGGTACTCCTGGCTCCGGAAGCACAACCCGGAGATCAACTGGGATACCCAGGAGGTAAAAATGAGCCGTTGCCCTTCTGGTTGCTCCACCTGCCGGGAGGAACTTCGCGAAGAACGTCGATCTGCCAGAACCGCAGCCCGGGTGCTCCGCACCATCAGACAAGGTCCGGTTCCATCCATCTGCGCTGTCGACGTTGAGGACCACAAGGACGAAGAGATGCCGGAGCTTTCGCCAGACTCGGACGATTATGACCCTGAAGATGTCGAAGAAGATGACGACTCCTTGGAAGCCGGTGACCGTATCTTTTACACCCGCTTCAACCCTTCTGAAAACATCCGAGCCACCAGCACCGTCTCCCAGCGACTCGCCGAGGTGTTTGCTAAGAACTCTGCACCTCCTCGGGATACCATCCCCGAGTGGGCCCGCGAGTTCGAAGATGTTTTCAGCAAGGAGTCCTTCGACAACCTGCCAGAGCGACGCCCCTGGGATCACGCCATTGAACTGGTTCCCGATGCGAAGCCGACCAACTGTAAGGTCTACCCCATCTCCCCTCTCGAACAGAAGCAGCTCGACAGCTTCATCGAGGAGG